TGAAACAGCGAGATGTGAACCTGGGTCTACGCGGCCAAATGTCTTAACTGAATGAGCTATACGTTCATTCAACTAAGAGAATAGTAATATTTATTTAATATATAATTTGAAACTATATAAAACAGAATTTACAGAAAGAGATACGTATGCAAATAGGATTCTATATATCAGGAAAATGAATAGTAATGTGAACCTTTAGATGCTTATAATTAATATCTGGACTCAAAAACTAGTTACTTTTAATGGAACACAATAGGCTGTAGGAGCCTCAGGGAAATTATATTCAGAAATGGTTATATTAGACTCAGAGTTAGCTAGAAATTATTACAAAGTATTTAGGACAGATGTCTAGTACAAAAAGCAAAAGATTTAAAGCAAAATGAATTATATTATTTGAAAAAATTGTTTTACGTACATTTCATCATAATTTAAGTAGAACTTAGTAAAGCAAGGGAAACGTGTTGAATTAAGCACAATGAACTCAATCTTAAAAGAATAACTAACAGAAGAGAGGTTGTCACTATTGTGAAGGCGACGAAAGATCTGTAATATAGAACATGGAGGTCAAAAAATGCTATCTTAAGTAAAAAGAGTTTGATGAACAAAAGTTACAATGGCTGCGGGTTGCGAACCCGGATCTCTGCGGCGAATTATCACGTATCTAACTGATTGAACTATACAATCTTATACTCAAATTTATATCTTATTAAAATTAAAAAACAAAATTTTCTATGATCTATACTTTGAAAAGCGTATTCAAACAGGACTCTATATACCATTAAAATCTGCTAGAATTTTAGTAACGTGCACACTTTTAGAAATTATTGAAATAGGTATATTTTATCAGAAATATGCTTAAGCTAAAGCATATTTTTGAGCCTCTTTTTACTATTTGCTTAAGCATATTCGAACCTGTTTCAAAAATTTCATATGCTTTAAAAAATAAACATATATTCCTACCCATCATTCTTATTTTTAATATACGTAATGAGTTCAAAAAACATCGTTGCATATATTTATTATGGCACGTTTCGTAAGTTTATTTCCGTTAAGAATTCTTTCGTATGTTGTGATCCGAAATACTTTCGTTTCGAAAGAAATTTTATTTTTTATCAATATTTCTAAAAATAAAACCGTAAAAATTTAATAAGTTATTTTACTGAAAATAAAAATTCACTATAAACATTTTGGGATTTAAAGATGTTAATTTTTACAATTAAAATCAGTCTGGCAAACAAATTTTCTTTATAGACTTCAAAACGTCGTTTGGCAAAAATGTTTGTTTCGCAAGTGCGACTTCCGAAACCGCTACTTTCTTATGTTGCAAAATAGTTTTGTTTCGTATGTCAACTTGCGAAATGCTAAATTTTGGAAGTGGCTTTTGCGAAATGAACATCGGCGATTTTAAATGTTTTGTAACATTCGGTACGAAAAAATGTATTTCCGTGTTCTCAATCTCCTTACGAAAGAATGTTGTTTTTCCGGAATTGCACGAAATCCTCCGGTTAACAACCCTAATCTTAACGTAAATGTCGACATAACGCACAAATCGCAGGTCAGTTTAATGATAGTCAATGAACTAAATGAATCAACATATTTCCCACAACAGGAATAATTAAAAGAATTTTGCAATCGATATACTTATATTTTACTAAATCTACGTACAAATTCTCCTGTTTATTTAAAAGCAATAAATATAATGTAAAACTAATTTTTACAAAATGCGTCATCAATAGTTATTTTTTCAAGTTTGCATTTTTATTTTAAAAGTCAATTCACACGCACGTATGAATAGACAAGAGTAAAATGGGGCTAAATGGAATAGTTAAGGATTTTAAATATTAATTTTTTATGGAAAAAAGATTTTCCCTTTTTTTTTTAAATTTGTAGAGAGTATTGAGCTGTATTTAAATATATATTTTTTTAACAATTTTTTTGTAAAGTTTTTTATGAAACTTTATTTGATTAAAAAAAAATTTGTTCCATTCTGCATTGACATTCGGGGAGAATGAAATACGCAAATATAAGTGTAATTAAAACAACACTTTATTAAAAAAAACAAAAAAGCAATCAATAATAACAATTAAAAAAACAATCAGTAATAACAATTAATAAAATCAATCAAATAAAATAAACTTTTTTATTCTTGTGATGATGTTGAGCCATTTAGAGGTACTAGAGATTGAGTTGAGTTTTCACTTGTGCGGCACTTTTTGTAAAACTCAGTGCCTTTTACGTATCGCCTTGGTATGCATGTTTGACATGCATACCAAACCTTGCAATTTGAATTTTCACACTGGTACCATTCCATAATTTGACTTGCTGAAATTTCGCCCAAAACTTTTCGGCACTTTTTAAACTTGAATTGGTTTGCAGCTAATATTTTCGTTGAATTTGTTGCTTGGTTTATTTGCTGTTCTTCATTAGAACTAAGCTTAGGTTGTTTTTTAGCTTGCTTTGCTGCTTTTTTACTCTCAGCATCCTTCAACCTTTCAAGTATTTTAGGTTTGTTGAGACACTCTCCTTCGAATCTTGGTGCATCTACATTTTTACTTTTTTTTGTGTCAACTTGTTGGCTACGAAACATTTGTTGCAAAGCTGGTCCAAGTGATTGAGCTGATTGCAGTTGTTTTGCAACCTCTTTTTGAATTTCCTTTTGAATAGCCGGAGTTACTACAATATTGAAGGTTGTTTGCAGACAAGGTGACTTTTGAGATGACTTTGGAGCTGATGCTATATCACATATGCTGATGCTAGATGTTGTTGGTGTAGATTCAGAGGGCAGTGGCTGAGGTAGTGTAGTTCCTGGTGCTAGATTTGGTGATGGTACTATCATAGATTCTGGTTGTTGAGATGACGAAGGCTCAGGTTCAAATCTCGGTGTTTTAAATGTATTAGAAATTTGCAACTTTGACTGATCGATTTTATCAATGTTGAGTGGAAACAAGCCAGTATTCTGAAACCCAGTGACTGGGTGCGTGTAAAAACTTCACCAGAGCTGAAAAGTTTTTTTTGCAGGTGACTGAAACATATTTTTGATAAGTTGCTAAAATTTGTCTCTGCATAAAACTATTAAAGTATTTTTTTTTTTTTTTTTAACATGTTTATTTTAAATACAAAGTATTTATAATTGACCAATCACCGATTGGCGAATAAAGATATACACATATAAATATCGTAAACATGAAGTCCAAAATAAATAAGGGATAAATCTAAAATATTGTTACATTCAACTTTGAGACATGGTAAAAATAAATAAAAGTACACAATAGAATAACGTGAACGTAAAAATTACCCAAGAATTAAACCTTCTATATTCTTTCAATTAAAATAATATATATATATATATATATATATATATATATATATATATATATATATATATATATATATATATATATATATATATAAGTATGATAAAAACAAGATTTGTATAAGATTGAAGAAAATAATTAATTGTTTGTAGTTATAGGAAGCTCGCAAAAGACTGGGGTCAGTCTTTTCATCAAGTACCTTCTAGACGTGTAATACACATAAAAATCAGTTGCATACGTGGTAAATATGTATGTGGTACATATATGCTTTAAAATTATAAATGTTACTATTTCCTTTTAGTATTATTTTTATTGTTTCCTTTGAAAAGTTACATTTTTTGTTTTATTAGAGTTGTTTTATATTATTTTTGTTTTTAAATTTTAAATTGGAGTTTAAAAAAACTCCTTTTAGTTGTTTAACTTGATTATTGTAGATTTTAACTTTGTTTTCAGAGACTGTTCGTTGTTTAAACTTATTAGCGATTCGTTTCTAGAAATTATTTTGTTAAATAAATAGGAACCACGATGTTTTATTGAAAATTTTGACAGTTTTGCGCCAAACTCTTTTGACATGGCAATAAACACCAACATCTAGTGGCTGTAGAATGTGCGACGAGTGAGCTGGTAAGCAAATTAACAAGAGAGTAACTAGCGAATTTCATTCATTTATTAGAACCATTTTATAAAAGCAGTAAGTAAAAGTCATTTAAATTCAGTAAGAAAAATTCGTTCATTGAAAGTTATACAAAAAAATTTATAGTTGGAGATTTATTGGTCACTTGAGTAAAAAGTTGTATCATTTAACGTTCAATGAGAACCAATTTAATTTCCGAGAGTTTTAAGTTCTTTTTTATCTAAAAATCGCATTCTAAAACTTATAAATGTTTAACAAAATTTTATTAATTAAAAATAAAATTATATACAATCTTACTAAGAAAAATATTCTCTACAATATAATTAAAAAATATTTAAAAAAAAATTATTCAATAGTTAATTAAGAGCGAAAGAATAAACATTGTCATAACTATTTCGTTCTACCCGCTATTTCATTTTACCCTGTTTTACTCTATATCCCAGCCGGCACATTAAGTTTCATTTACGTGTTAAAAACCAGTGAACAACACGTGGTTGACTCAGTGAATTTGTAAACTTTTCTCACGAGTTAGAAACCTTTTTATAATTGGTGTTTGGAACGTGTTTTAAAAAGTTTTTTTCACGTGTAAAACCAAGTTTTAATTACGTGACGGACACAGTGATTTTGTAAACTTTTCTCACGAGTTAGAAACCTAATTCTATTTAGTGTTTGGAACGTGATTTTAAAGGTGGGTTTCCCACTCATCCGTTTTTCTACGGGAACGAGATAGGAACGGGAAAAATAATCACGTGAGCATGCATAGTTTTACTTCGGACAAGTTAAAACTTATAATACGCATGCCCACGTGATTATTTTTTCCTTCCTTTTCCCGTTCCTATGAAAAAACGGATGAGTGGAAACTCACCCTAAAGTTTTTTTCACATGTAAAACTTTAGTTTTACTTATAAGTTGTAATTATAAAATTTATATCAGACACGTTTAATAACGTGTTAGATATAAATTTTTATATGCATTTTTATATATCAACGTATGTTAATAATTGTTATTTTTAATAAGTTTGCTCATTAAAATAAAGTAAATACAATAAAAACTAAATAATAAGTACTTTTATTATTAAAATAACTCAAATCATCATTTGATAAAAAGTTTGACAGCCTAACATGGTGGTAGTCTATTAAAACGTTTTCCTGCTTGTTTAAGCCACTCTGATATAACTCGTTTGGTTTCTTTTTCTGAGGAATTCCAAACATTAGATAATGATCTGAGTAATAATGAATAAAAAGTTGGAAGATGATGGACCAAAGACAAATGGTCCGTATATGACTTTAACGGTACATTATTACCATACATAACATTTATATTTATTTGCAACTTGCATGACATTGCATTTAGAGAACAACGAACATGCTCGCTCATGGACTTACATGTTAAACCTATAACTTCCACCTTCCTCTGAAGCATTAGTTTAATTTTTTTATTGTCAACTATTTTTTTTTCGAGTGCCAAAAGTTCTTCGGTGGTAGTCGTTTGTTCGAAATCATCTACATCTTCATTTTCACTCTTTGATAGAAATGAAAGAATCTTTGATTGTTGTTTTTCGATTAGTTGCATTTTTTCTTTAAGGTCGCTTAAACAAAACAAAACTTTTTGCTGAAAGCTTCCCATGTCTATAGGAAATTGGTCAACTTGAATTTTTTTTGGTCGTCCACCTTTAAAACTCTTGACAGGGAGATAATTATTTATTTTGTCTTCTTTATTTTTAAGTGATGTATCATTATTTAAAATAAAATGTACATCCCCTTTGTGTGAAAACTCACCAGATGAATCGTCAACAGCTTCTTCATTTATGTTCCGCTTTTTTTTTTTTTTTTAGGTGAATTTGATTTCACCAACCATCCTTCTCGTTTTTTACCTTAAAAAAATATTTTCAAATAAGTGCTCAATAAATAAATACAAAATAGTTGAAAAAAACTATTAATGTGAGGTTTTTTATGGATTTTTTTTTGATGTGGAGGAATTTTTATTCCCAATCAAAGTAAACATAAAATTTTATTCCTGTTTTACACCCTGTTCTGGTAGCTTTGGGAAGATAAACTTAAAAAACCTTAGAGAACTTATATAAGAGAATATATGCTCTTAAAGCTAAAATAATATAAGGCCGGAGATGTCTGTTAAAGGATTATGAAAATGCTCTTTAATTAAAAATACTGTTATAAGTATTTAAATCATTGTAAACTATATTCTCAGAATTATTTACAAACAAATCATGATTTGTTTGTAATCATGAATTATTTACAAACAAGTCATGATTTGTTTGTAATCATGAATTATTTACAAACAAGTCATGATTTGTTTGTAATGTGAAAGTGAATACTAACCATTATTTGGTTTTTCCAAAAAATTTTGAATCACAGGATAATCCACCAGTGTTTCTGAAAAGTATAATAAGTTTGATAACTTGAAATAATGATAATGAACTTTTACTTTTAACTATGGAAACACTAAAACTTAACAACCCATAAATTACGTAAAACTCTTGCAACAACCACTTTGATGAATTTTAAGACTTTTAAAAGTCATAATGGAATCAAGAATTTAACCGTTACATTATAACAACTACTATTAACCACAACAAGGAATGGATCAATTTACCTGTTATTGTATCATAACAAGCTTTAAGAACTTTTCCTACAAGCAATTTATAAAAAATAAGTATAAGCAATGAAATAGATATAATAGTGTACTGCAACATCATTTGTTGTATTTAGAAATTATAATCAGCTATAAAACATAAAAAAATTAGAAATTATAATAAGGTATAAAACATAAATAACAGGAGCATTCCTACTAACTTATACTTAAAATTATTTAGCACGATGGTGTTATTTATGTTTTATACCTAATGAAAATTCATAATAAAATACCAGGAAAAAAAACAAAAACAAACAAACAAGAAAGCAAAAAAAAAATAAATAAATACAAAATTTTCTTTTACCTTTCTTAGTAGATAAAGAATGCTGCATTGATGTCAACTTTTCGTTAGCTACACTTGCTTTGTCTAGATATTAGAAATTGTTTACAAAACCTATAGCTTTAATGCCACTAATCACCACCACAAACAATATTTTCCTTATCTTTTTTTTTTTAAAAAAACTTTTTAACTAAATAAAAATTTTAATGTACATTTTCCTGAAATAGTAAAATATATAAATAATTAAAAAAACAAATTTTTTTAGAAATAATATTATATGCAAACTTACAAAAACATTGAAGATCATTGTTTTTATTTGTATTTATTAGCTCTACATTTGCTGACCCAGTGTCTTCCTCAGTAGTTACATTATATAAATTTTCAAGTTCCACTAAAGAATCTGTAAGCAAAATAATTAAATAAATTATTTGTGTTGCTCTTTGTTATGTATAATGTATTTGTACATGACTTTAGAAGTATAAAATAAAATTTTTATGAAAAATAACTTAAACATTTTAATAGAAAATATATACTTTTCAATAAAATCAAAAACATTAGTACCACTAAAACGTTTCACTTTTTGAAGTGGAAATGAAAACCATTGTATGTCAGGCTCTGTGCAATCTGTAATCATTTGAATGACAGGTCTATCCGGCTCAGAAGGATAACGTACACACTTCTCTATCATATCTATCCAACAAACAGGAATGTTTTCTTGTATGGTTTTTAACCCTTCTTTCCATACCGCAGTACAATATTTATCCTAGAAATCAAGTGAGAATAAGTGCAACATATATATATATATATATGTTGCACTTATTCTATATATATATATATATATATATATAGAATAAGTGCAACATTATTCTATATATATATATATATATATATATTATATATATATATATATATATATATATATATATATATATATATATATATATATATATATATATATATATATATGTATATATATTTATAAATATATATATATATATATATATAAATATATATATATATATATATATATATATATATATATATATTTATATATATTTATAAATATATATATATATATATATATATATATATAAATATATATATATATATATATATATATATATATATATATATATATATATATATATATATATATATATATATGTATATATATATATATATATGTATATATATATATATATATATATATATATATATATATATATATATATATATATATATATATATATATATATATATATATATATATATATATATATATATATATATATATATATATATAGTCTAAAACCACCACATAAAAATGCTATACTTTGGTGCCTAAAATAAAATTGAGCGTGTATAAGTTTTTATTTGGCAACCATAGCTAGTTAACACAGTTTCCCAATTATTATTATATAATCAAAATATAATTTCCCAATTATTTTTTGTACTGTAATAGTTTTTTCATTAAATTTTCAGTTTTTCGCAAGTGGTCTTAAACTTTTTTCCAAGACTGTATATACATATATATATATATATATATATATATATATATTATATATATATATATATATATATATATATATATATATATATATATATATGTTATATATATATATATATATATATATATATATATATATATATATATATATATATATATATATATATTATGTTATATATATATATATATATATATATATATATATATATATATATATATATATATATATATATATATATATATATATATATATATATATATATATATATATATATATATATATGTATATATATATATATATATATATGTATATATATATATATATGTATATATATACATATATAACAAACACATCAAATACAAATGTAAAACACACAAAAAGCAAATTAATCAAACCATAAATTGTCTGTGAAGCAATGACTTCAGAAGCAATGATTATTACCAACAGCGCAAGTAATAAGTTTCTAAAATCTTAATTTTTTTGTCAATCAAAAATAAATAATACAGAACATTTTGTAAATTATAGTCAATAGTTAAAATAAATGAAAATAATATCAACAACAACAAAAAAATCATTTCTTAATTATATGTGCAAACAACTGTTAATTGTTTTAAAAATAGCATTATACTTGTAACAATGAAAATTTTTTTTTGAATTAACTAAAAACTAAATACAATTGAACTATTGTTTGCATTCATTTTTGTGAAGAACTGGAACAAAGAGCAAACCGTCATCGCCATACTTCATTGCATACAGTTTTTTATAAACGTCAGCTTTATTTAAAGTTACAGTTTTACGCTTCAATTTTCTAATACTGTCGCAACAAAGTATACCCCACTGTCTACTATCTAAAGGTACATCAAAAAAACTTTTTAACTGGCTTGGATTGATAACTAAACAAAGTAATTGTTGATTATCACTTGATCCTGAAATTCCAATAACTTCACAATATTTTTCATTCTTACTAATAAAGAATTAGTCTCTTCTAATTGTTGACACTTTCATATTTAACATTGTTTCATAAGTAGATAGCTGAATTTGTGAAGCTTCAAAAAATCTTTTAGTGCATGATGTTAAGGGATTAGTTTTCGCATCTCGAACAGTTCGTTTCAAAGATAAATAACTAAGTGAACACCTAAAATATTCTACATCATCGACAATGTGAAGTAAATTGTGAACATTGTCTGTAAGGAAGGTTTCACCACAAAGTATTTTAGCATTGTAGACAAAACTTTGAAATAGGCAACGTGCAAACCCCAACAACTTGTTTCTATATTCATCATTATCAATGTGTAAAATCCGTACAGCTATAAAAAATGATATAAATAAATCGTAATGCTGATCGTTAAGTACACCTTTAAATATCAAAATACCAGTGTATAAAACCAACTGCCGAAACTCTGTAGCTTTCCAACGATCCACTTCAAATAAACTGCGTGGTCGTCTCATAAAATCTGATGGTGTATATTGTGATAATTCTGTTAAGCGTAATGATATAGTATTTAGCTGAGCATGGCTGAGTCTAACATTTCGTGGCCCTGTTTTAAGAAACATTAAATATTTCCTGCAAACCCCAAGAAACAATAAATGCATTGATTCTAATGGAAAACCTTTAATAACATCAAAATGATCAATATTAAGAGCAGGACTTTTACTTAAGTAATGCTTAGGATATTGTCCTAACCGAAATAAAGAATCTGTTCTACTTTCGCCTGCATTCGAAAAAATTATTCTTCTTTCTACAGATTGGCCTTCACAAGTGCATCTTTCACATCCTTGCTTTGAGGTATGGCCTGATACACATTTAACAAAAGCTCTGGCAGGAGCATCACAAATAAATGCATTAAGCTTTATTTCATATATCTTGCCATCAACCACCATAGAATTTTTCTGCAAAAAGTTGATTTCATCAATAAACTGCTCTAAATATTCATTAATGTTTAATGGTTTTCTATAACCACTAAATATAGCTACTACAAATGGAGTTGTATTAATACCATGGAAAGCACATAAAATAGGCCAAAATTGGAGATTACTTGAACGATGAATAGGAACCCCATCAATATTAATATTTAATTTTAAAACTGTTTGATCTTTGAAAATAAAAGGTAGAGAAAGAATCTTTTGAATTAAACTTTTTTCTAAACCAAAATAAGCAAAATGACCACCAGACGTTTGCACGGTGTTAACAGTTCGAGGAGTGTGTAATAAGGCACGAGCATCTTTTGGGATGTCACCTTTGTTGAACCTCCCACAATTATCCAAGATCTTCAGAAGTTCATTAATTTTTTCGCGTGGCAATTTAGATTCAATAGCCCATTGTGCAAACTTTGTTAAAAATTCAAATATTGTTTCTTTAAAAGTAATTTTAATTTCATCTTCACTTGAAGATACAGGGCTAACATCATCTGGTTCTAAAATACATTCTTCATCATACAGATGCAGAGAAGCAGTATCATTTTGCATACTATTTGAATCTACATCTTTATATGTATCAGGACTATTGAATTCTTCATTCTCACTGGTATTGTCACTATCCAAATGATCTTTAATGTTTAAAAGCTTTTTATTAGCAACCAATGTATCAGTGTTTAACATTTCTGCTAATAAATTTGACCTAGCCCGATAATTTTTCATGTAACGTTTCATATATCCACAATTTTTACGCTTGTTGATTTTGAGCATTCTTAAATTGTAATTGATATCTGTGATTAATATCAAATACAGTATAAATTTATATATTATAATTTACATTATAAATTTATAATTCTAATTTATTGTTTTGCATTTGTAAGCTGTTATAAAAACATATTTATCCTATTCTGACAATAACTTAAGTTATATATTTAGTTATGTATATGTTCATATATATAAACATAAACAATAACTCTTATTATATATATATATATATATATATATATATATATATATATATATATATATATATATATATATATATATATATATATATATATATATACATATATATATATATATATATATATACATATATATATATATATATATATATATATATATATATATATATATATATATATATATATATATATATATATATATATATATATATATATATATATATATATATATATATATATATATATATATATATATATATATATATATATATACATAACTAAATATATAACTCAACTTCTTGTGAGAATAGGATTATTATATTTTTATAACAGCTTACAAATACAAAATATAATCAATTTGAATTATAAATTTATTAATTAATATTAAATAAATATATAATATTCAGCTAAGTTAAATAATTAATATTTGAACAATATTTAATAATGTTTGAACTTAAACTTAAGAACTTTCGTAAGTTTCTAAGTTTATAAGAAATGAACTCATCCTATGGACACATAAAATTTGCCATTTAGTAGGCGCTACTATGAGATATCTATCATATTTATTATTAATTAAGTTTACTGTCTTCTTTCTTAAATTACTATAGCAATTTATATTATTTATAAAAATTCCTGTTGATCACTCTAAATGACGGAATTATTAACACGAGTTCAGAACCTGTTCATTTATAAAGTTAAGCATGCGTTATTTATAAAGTTTTTAACACGTGTAAGGAACTAATGGTTTTATTTGACACGCATTGTGCCGGCTGGGATCTTAATATAGTCTATTCGTACGTTTAAAAAAAAATTTCAAGTTAGATTTTTAATATGAAATCTCTCACAAACAAAAAATGTTTATAACTTAAGTCATATATTTTAAAAACAATTTAATTTTTTTAATCAATTATAATAAAAATAAAATTACTTAAAGATAATTAAATTTTTATTCAAAAAACAAACAAAAACGTACTAATAGGTAAAATAAACATTAAGAAATACTTCTTTTTTTCAATTAAAAGATTGCCTGCCCAAGCCAAAACCCTTGTCATTGTATTTATAATACACTGCGCCTATCCCTAGATAAGCAGTCAATATGTATATACACTACGGTGCGCATACCCTTCAAAAGTCAGACAACGGAAGTACTGCGTTAATACTCCACTGCGCTTGTTTAATTTTAAGTTAAAAACCAATAATAATAAATCTAATTTTTTTAAATTCCCTTTATATTCGATGAACTTTAACTTTTTTAATTAAACGTGCAAATAGAATATAATTAAATATAGTCTATTCGCACGGGAAAAACGTGCGAATAGACTCTCCGTTATTTTAACTATTGTCCTTGTAAATTAAATGCTTGATCAAATTTAAACAAAGCTACGTTTTTATCATCAGAATCTTTACACTCAAAATATTCGTATATAAAAATATTAACAGATGTAGTACCACGTAGTATAATGTTTTAGATTAAGAAAAGGTTTTAAACAAAAGTAATATTGTAAAACGGGGTGAACTTGATAGGTTTTGGGCACTTTTGCTAAACAACTCTTGAGTATTATTTTTTTTTTTTAATATAACATGATACTCTTTTTCATAGGATTCCATTGGAAAAAAAATGTTGTTTGTCCTACTATATTTTTTTTCATCTCAAAAATGTTAATAATCTCACCCATTTGTTTTGGGTGACTTTAATAACTTAATAGTTTTATAATTGCTTATTAACTTAACCTTCCTCATAAGCATGTCACGTTTGTCTTAAGGCAAATCAAGGCAACTTCTTAGGGGCGCTAACCATTAAGGAGCGCCTAATTTTTTACTTTCTTTTAAAAATTATGTCAAACTTTTTTTTTAATAACATAATCAGAATTAATTTTGAATTTATTTAAACTTTTCAAAACTATTTTTAAGGATAGTTTCAAATAAACAACGTAGAATTCAAGCAACGATAGGTAGGAGTGTCTTAAAGCAACAATAGTTAAAAGTGTCTTAGAGCGAAAAACATTTGCACCAAAACTCACGTTTTATAACTTAAATGTCGTTACGTAGTGGAAAGACTTCGTTAACATTGCAGCTTGAGTTTTTGCTTTAATTAAATTATTAAATTAGCAAAAACATAAGATTTTTGGTTTTTACTGTAGACACGAATTGTTTTAACTTCTATTAGGAATTATAGGGCGATAACTATTCATATGACTGAACGCAATATGTATGAGAAAGTTACATTAGCAAAAACACCCTCTGAAACTGGGTGTAAAAACACTTTAAACAGGTTTTTTTATTTTTTAACTTTCCTTAGAAACTTCATAATAAAAATTTATCTGAGGACTGCCATTACGTATACACTCTATGTAGCAGTTTGCAGCCTTACAAAAAAACCACGAGAGAAAAAAACTGACTAGCCGCATTCCTGTACATAATACTAACAGTTTCTTCAAAATGCTGCACTTTTATTTCTACACGTTTAAGGCTAATTTTTACTTGTTTCAGAGCCTAGTTTATCGCTTAGTCTCATCATGGTTGAATTTTATTAGTATTATGAATGTTTTGTAATGTAACGGATAACTTAACAAAATATTTACAAATTGAATTTCTATCGATTTCAGCTATTGCTGGTTTTACGTTGTGTCTTGTCATGAGAACCAGAAAAGTATGACGCGTCATTAAAAGTTGATATATA